CCACCTCCAAGAAGACGGCATTCTTCATGTAAATTCGTACTCCAAAAATATATGTTTCTGTCGTTATATTCTGTAGGTTCGATGATTCTTAACTTACATGAAATTTTTTCAGCTGCTGAAATTATATAACAGTATATAAGATTGGTAGATTCCGAGCGGGATGGCATAGCGTGATGCTCTAGAATCGTTTTCGGGAGATGTCCAGTTCGAAGCTTGGGGCATCGAATATCCTAACTATGGTGCTTCATATGCTTTCTTGTTCTATCCAGACATCGCTCTTTGTTGTACCTTAAATAGCGAATGCTGGAACAGGAATATCATTACAAATATTAATCAGCATAATTAGTAAATCGTCTGAGATACTAAGCGAGTGCTTCTGCAGGCTGCGCCTCGAATACCACGGATAAATCTGGTTTGTTGTTTCCGAAGTTACGATCAGCATTTCTACTTGTATATTCCTGGAAGCTTTAATCTATCCAGAATCAGTGACGTAAGGGAATATTGAGTTTCTAATTATATTTCATTGCAATCTGTTTGGAGCGCGATCAAAAACAGCTGCTCCGACACCAAAGTTACAATGGTTGTAATTTACAGCTACCTCTGTTCCTCTTTATACATTTCGTGTAAACACTTCCACCTTCACAAGAGGCATTTGAATATCTGGGGGCACCGCTGACGGTACTGCACGTTTTAATTGAGTGCCTGTTTTGTGATGATAGCTTGCGTAGTTTCCACATTCGAGACCCCCTGCAGGGCGCCTACCCGCGTCGCAACCGCGTTGCGAGTGCAGTAGTGTCACCAGGCTCGTCGTCAGTACGATACACTAAGACTGTTTCACCTCTTTGTGACATGCGTAGGGCCGCGCCATAGCTCAAGCGGTTAGTCGCTGGCTTCCCACCGCGGCGGCTCGGGTTCGATCCCGGGTCTGGTCAAGTGGGCTTTGTGGTGGACAAAGTGGCGCTGGGGCAGGGTTTCTCCGAGTACTTCTGGTTTCCCCTGCCAATCTTCATTCCACCAATTGATCCACAATCACCCTCACCTATCAGGTGGGGCTGGTACAATAGGCCAGAAGTGGCCGCAGTCCCACCCCACTAGCAATAAAAAGAAAGTAACACGTGTATAAGAATTTATAGGCAGGAACACGTGTACTTACACGGCCTCATTTGAGCAACGCTCTTTGCCCTCACATGTCTGATGAAAAGTTAGAATCTGACAAAATAATTTTAAAAATGTGTTACAGAACTTAATATTTCATGTTATATTGAGCATTTTTTTACACTGTGGGTTCGATTCCTGATGAAGTCATTGGATTTTTTAATTAACCTAATCCTTCCAGTCGCACTATGTCCATGGGATCAACACAGCCTCTAACAGAAATGAGTACCAGGAATCTTCCTGGGGGTAAATGGCGGCCGGCGGGTGCGTAAGGCTGACAACTTCACCGCCATCTGTAAGTTGATTATATAGAAAATGTGGGAGTCTCGACGTCTCACAACCGTATAGGCCTCCACGGCCTGTTACAGGGATAGCTTTAATTTTTATGGATTAGGTTCATGTAAGTTTATAGCTTTCAGTTAGAAACAGTTAGCCAAAATGCTGTTGCACTTCTAAATACACTCATTAATGTTTGCCACAAACAACCCTCAGTTACAGTGCTTTCGCATCAAAATTTCGGTTAGAAGATTGGACCTTGTTTATTTGGCCTGTGTTCGTCATCTTTGTTCTTTATATAAAAATCATAAATTTTCTGAGACGGGTTTTATTTCTTTCTCCAGATGCATGGAAAATGAAGTAATGTTCACTCTGTGTTGTCCCTATTCTCATATCCTGCGTGTTACTTCTGCGCAGGGAGCCAAAAATAGTAGGAATTTTCTCCTACCGTCTACGCCTGAAGAACTACACGTAAATAGAATCCATTTTCGAAAATGCGGTTTTCTAAGAAGATGCTGGTCTTTGAGTAAAGTCAGAATGAACAGCCTTGATCGTGTCACACCCCTTAAATATTATTAATCGTAATGCTGAAGTCTTCAACCCATCCCTCTTGTTGTAGAGTAACATTAACTGTCTAGTGATATGACCCTTAAAACAAACTGTACTGCAATTGAGATTCTCACACCAATGACTAGGAAGAGTGTTGTCGTCTGGGTTATAAATTCTTGCAGTTCGCACAGTCTGATGTTTCGGAGGAACATATTGCCTACATCTTCAAGATATAATAGAAATCCAAGCAAGAAAGCAGCAGAAACAGCCACTTTCTACCTCTTTCTTCTTATTTATTGCTTAGCTTACTTTTCGACTATTAAATGTAAAGTTATATTCTCCTCCGAAACGTCTGGCGCTCTGCAAACTATAGACAAGAAGACAATATTCATCGTAATCTCTAATACTAATATAGGATTTGTTCGCTGTTGTTTCAATACTCAATTAATTCTCTATTTTATGGGAAGAAGCTTCAAGTGTATGACTCCATCATGTGAGATCTCTGTGGTCTCTTATTTAATAGAGTTCGTAGTTTGAAATGTTTTAAAAGAACAAATTAGATCAAGCTTTATATAAGCATATGATAGCAGACGTTTCTACCAGACTGTAGCTCAGTATCAGAGTAAAGAGGTCACAGAATCCTACTTAAAATTGTAAGAATAAGAGGAAATCAGTAATCACAACCTTAAAGACTAGAGCTTACGATTTATAACTGCGTTATTAATGCTGGCTCTCTTCCACTGCAGGAAAAATGGCAAAGATCGTGAAGGGGCATTTCCGCCAGGCAGCTTGGAGGCTGCCGCACATACGTTCCAGGAATACACCTACAAGAAGATTACGCCCTGTGACGTCTGCTCACAGGTGCTGCGAGGTGCGTATTGTCCTTGTTTCTGAGTAGATCTCACCTGGACCACTCTTGTCTAGCGAGCTGAGCAGAAAAACCGCGTGACAATTTGCCTCTGTCGCTTCTGTGGCTTACGATTCCAAGTAAGTTCTTTGACCCTTCCGTCTGTGCTTTGTGGCTTCAATGAGTGGGTTTTATGGCGCTTTAATGTCAAAGTGCATTCGTGCCTGGCCTCCATGTATAAGCGTAAAGGTGTGGACTCACGATTTGTTTTGAATCACCAGGTATGCCGCATCAAATTTAACCTCTGAGGAGAAGTAAATGTGTTTTCCATTCAGACTTTGAACCTTCATAACTTGTACTCTTCGCCAAGTATAATTAGAATGATCAAGTCAAGGGGGATGAGATGGGCAAGGTATGTAGCACGAATGGAGGAGAAGAGGAATTCATATAGGATATTGTGGGAAAGGCAGAAGGAAAGAGACCACTGGGAAGACCTAGACGTAGGTGGGTGGACAATGTTAAAATTTATCTTAGAGAGATAGGATGGAATGGTATGGATTGGATTTATGTGGCTCAGGATATGGGCCATTGGAGGGCGTTTGCGAACACGGTAATGAACCTTTGGGTTCCATAAAATGCTGGGAAATTCTTGAGTAGCTGCACAGTTGGCAACTTCTCAAGAAGGACTAAGCTCCATATGTGATGATGATGATTCAGGCTTTGAACCTTTGCCGAAGAACTTAACTATCGTACCAGAAGTTTAGAAGTCTTCTGTCACGAAACCATCTACACTTTCCGTGCAAATCTGTTTATGTGTTGTATTCTATTTTTAATACCAGAAGTTTAAAATTGTTTTGTGAACAAGGCCCCAGTTTCTCGTATTTTGTCAAAATCGAGTCGTTACTCCACAGGGGGTCGTAACTTGAATGGGGGTCACGGATTTGTTAAGAATTATTTAACCGTGTTTGTATTCAAGCACATTTTTCAGGTGAGTTATTCGGGAATATTTAGTCTAGGTAATTTGGGAATTTGTAGTTGCAGCCGGCGAAATATTTCGCGAAGTTATCGTGACTGTGCAGGAATATTTTATATCTTACTATGGGCACAGAGATTCGAAAGACATTTAGGTTTCTGATGCCACAGTACAGACTGACAGATGGCTGCAACAAAGTGCAGAACTGCAGTTTTTCGCTGACCGGCTGAGATGGATAGGTCCCTTAAACTTATGTATTATTTTAGTGGGTCACTGGTATAACAAAATTTTAAAACTCCTGTGGTAAATTAGAATCTATATTCTTGTGTTCAAGTGGGTGTTGTCTACGCTTTACACAGAGAAGCAGTAGCCGTGTTCTACAAAGAACCCCCGCCTCTATGGGAAATTGAAGGTCTCACAAACGTTTTGCCAAGTTTTCAATTGAGACTGTAATCGGACAGCAAAATGCCGCAGTACCGTATAACATAGACCTGTGTGGGGCAAAGGCTTCGTGGCGTCACTTCAACAGTGACAAACTTCTTTTCCAGAATAATGTGAAGCAGGTTCGAAGAGACTTTTGCATTTGTCAGATTCATTCATTCATTCATTCATCTGTAATCTGTCAAGACGACAGGTCCACAGTCTCTTCCAAAACAGTTCCTCCACTTAATGCAATCTAGAGCTTTCTCCTTCAAGAGAAAATATCCTCTTCTGTCCCCAAGGTCATCCAGCATCTTCTTACGTCTTCTTCCTCGTCATCTGGTCACTTCTATCCGCCCCTCTATCTTTCCTTCAATGACTTCTTTTAGAAGGCAGTTACTGCGTAAGATATGACAAATCCAATTAGCCTTCCGTTTTCTTATTTCGTGTAGGATATTCCTCTGCTCACTGACTCTAATTAACATTTCTTCATTTCTCACATAATCGGTCCAACTGATCTTCTCCATCCTTCTCCAACACCACATTTCGAAGCTTTCCAGATGTTTCTGATCTACTGCCCTAAGTGTCCAAGTTTCAGCCCCATACAGAGCTATGCCCCAAATGTAGCATTTCACTAGTTTCTTAAATTTAAGTCCAATTTGCTGGCAAAAAGATTCTTCTATTGGAGAAAAAATGGGGGTACGATGAGACAGTACATCAGCTATTCATAGACTTCAACAAAGGACTTCATAATCAACATTCCGGGTGTTCATCTTTAGAAAACATCCTGACGCTGTTTCTCTCTTACCTTGGGAAACATCTTGGCAGTAGACTGTAAGCCGTTGTAACTTATTGTAATTAGGAGTGATTGTAAAAGAAGGCGTCAATAAATCCAAACATCCAATCCAGAAACCGTTATTAGTCACGGAACCCCAGACACGTGACACTACTCACCTTTACAATTTTACAGTGCCCTCCTATTTTTGCACAGAACATATAATACATTAATGATGCATGTCGAAGATTAATGTAATACACAAAGAATTACAAGCATTAAAGAAATAACTTTTTCAATCACATATACGGAGTTTCTTTTCAAACCTTACTTACTTACTCATGGAGCTGAGCCCTTTTGGAGGAGCCGCCAATTCTGCAGCTACTCAAGAATTTCCCAGCATTTTATAGAACCCGAAGGTTCATTATCGTGTTCACAAGAGCCCTCCACTGGTCCCAATCTNTTCGCTACATCAAATACGGCGTGAAGTTATTTGTCGCGATATACGCAAGACACGTGACACTATCTCTCTAAGATCCATTTTAATATTTTCCACCCACCTACGCCTTGGTTTCCCAGAGGTCTCTTTCCTGCTGGCTTTCCCACCAATATCCTATATGAATTTCTCGTCTCCCCCATTCGTGCTACATGTCCTGCCCACCTCATCCTCCTTGACTTGAACATTCGAAGAAATTAAATTGTGTATATCACTTTAAGCTAGGAATCGCTCCCAATACACTCATATACACACTCATATTGATTCTTTGAAGAGTTATAAAGGTACGCAGGAGGTTCAAGAAGTCCCTGGAATTCAAGCATAATATTTAGTATAAAAGAATATAAACAAAATGTTCTGGGAAGAATTAATCGCATACATTCTTTGATACGTCATGGACCGCACAGAAAATGACATGTTCAACAATTCTTTTATCGTTGCGTGTGTGTTGCAGTAATGTTTTTACCGTGCCGTTGTTTAGCAACGGTAGTGGGATTTATACCGAGCTGTTGTTTAGCAACGATAAAAGGATGCATATATAGACACACGTACTTCTGGAATGATTGTATGATGTAAGCCGTTGAGATGGCCTCAGGTGCCAGGATATACATAGCAAGTTTCATAAAGACGGAGGCAGAAGGAGTCTCCGAAACGTAATGTTTTGAAAGATAAACAGGACGGTGTTTTAGATAAAGACAAAACAACGGACAATTTCCAAAAACCTAATATTTCTACTAATGTACCATCATCACGAACTTTTAGATCTTATTAGTAATAATAATAATTCAATATTGTCAGTGGGTGATTGAATTATTTCACCTTCCGATATAAGAAACAAGATGTAAACTTGCTGAATTACAGATATTCTGAAACGTTCGAAGGTATAAGATCATTTATCCGTTTCGGAGCTCAGTCATGTACAAAATTACTATCGATAAAAACATGGAGAGCTCCACACTAACGTGTTTCAAACTATTTACGCGGAGAGAGACGGAACTTCGCCGCAGAACATTGGAATCCTGTTAGATATCCTCCCTGGATGTCCTCTGCCATAGTTTCTGGCGGCAGGTAAAGAATCCAAAGCCCTGCATTCCTTACGGATTCCTTACGTCTAGAAACTTCTATGAAAATTCCAATGCACAAACAGAGGTCGCGTGTTTCCCCTGTAGTCTTTTCTCTCTATGAATGAGAGTGGAGACTCGGGTTAAGCTGGTGGCATATTTTGTTGGCTCGCACAAGTCATCCATATGCTTTAACTCATTAATTGGGCGGTCTTGTTATTGCATAGGATAGAAGTCGGGTTAGTTTATTTACACGAATATTGTGGTAAATTTGAGGCATTTATCTTGAAATGCTAGGGTTTATTTTCTAGGGGCACGCGGTAGCGTAGTTGGTTAAGGCACTACGGTACAGGTCGGAAAGTCGCGAGTTCGACTCCCAATGAGGTCACTAGATTTTTCAATTAATCTTTCAGCCGCACTATGGCCTTGGGGTTGTCTCAGCCACTAACAAAAATGAGTACCAGGAATCTTTTTGTGGGTAAAGGGCGACCAGCGCGTAAGGCTAACAAACTTACCGCCATCTATGAGCCGATTGTCTAGAAAATGTGGGAGCTTCGACGTTTCACAACCCTATGGGCCTCCACGGCCTCCACACCTTACCAGTGTGTATATTCTATATATATATATAGTAGACAGTAAATGCATATTGTGCTGGGTTCGAATCTCGGCATGGACTATCCTGACGAGGGCTTTATGTGGTTTCTATCAGTTCATCTAGACATATTCTTGGTTCGTACCTCGTTTGTAGCACGCCCGATTCCTTCCAAATCCTTTCCAATTCGTGAGGCAGCCAGAAATGTTTGCTTATAGACATAAATTTAAACATTATCCTTACAGATCACCCCGGACTTGCGGCTGATCAGAACATGGATGGAGCTTTAACAAATAATTTTCAGTTTCGGTAATAATATTTTGTATATTTCTGTCGTAAAATTCGTTTTTTTTTTTTGCAGTAGATGCCCAGCTTACGCTCTCTCTGCAGGCATCCATAGCAGCTGATTAAAATAATGGGTGGTGTCACAAATGCGTTCATAGACTTCGACATGCTTTCGGAAACTGCGACCCGACACACACCCTTTTCGTACGTAACAGGAATCTGGTGGCGGTTTCCATTAACCCACCACTCACCGTACCAGTTTGTTCATCGGGTAGAGCAGTGTTAAAATGTCACAGTTCACACATGTGAAATGAAACGAATTTACTTTATCGTAAATATCGAATGAAGTGTACAGTTGTACTCTGCCTCTCAGTTTTTAACCTACTGTAAATAGAATTAACAAAGAACCAATAAATTGGGATAATATTTATGTGAAAGATAACAAAATTCTTTCACCGATATCACATGATATTAAATTAACTACAACCATTATCATTGGGCATGCGGTAGCGTAATTGGTTGAGGCACTATGCAACAAGCTGGAAGGTCGCGGGTACGAGTCCCGATGAGTTCATTGAATTTTTTTAATTTACCTAATCCTTCCAGCTTGGAGCTGAGGGGCGCTGAGTGGTCAGCTTCACGCACCGGCCGCTTTACCACAGGGAATAGAGCCCCCGGTACCCATTGGATAGGAGGTTGGGTGGGCCCCAGATGAGGTGGATGAGGTGGAGAAAATTATTGACAAACATCGGGGCTTGAACTCCGACCCGTTGGTCGTCCAACCCATAGCCAGTCGCTATACAGACTGCGCTATTCCGACTCCCATTTTGTACAGCAAAGAAACTCCGTGTCTTGATGCCGCAAACGAACTGTACCTACCTAGCTACAGTTACAGAGGTCCGGGTTCGATGCCCGGCACTACCAGATTTTCTGAGAAGTAGTGGGTCTGGAACGGGGTCTACTCAGCCTCGTGGGGATAATTGAGGAGCTATTTCAAGGAAATAGCGGCTCCGGTCTAGAAAACCGAAATTAACCGTTGCGCTGACCACGCGACACCCTCAATCCGCTGAAGTTGGCACTAACTTCGCCGACAAGCGGCGGTCTCTCGGTCAGTCATTGTATACAGCGTGACGCGTAAATCGGTATCTTACTAAAATATGAATGAATCTCCCGAATAAGACGCGATATGTTGAACGGATGAAGTGCGTTATGACGTCATGAAGCCCATTTTAATATCGTGTCATCTATATAATGATAATATGAATTTTTATATTAACATATTTCGTTACATATTGCGTATTGAGACACTAATGCACTAGAAAGATGGTATATTTTGATTGAGTTTCAGTTCTTTATTCTGTTACGTATAATTTTATAAATCAGGTCAACTGTGGTTTGTATTGTTATTTAATTCGCTTAGTGTGGGGTGGAGTCCAACTGGGTCCACTCGGCACGGCGGCTACTGATTGGCCTATTGTACCTGCCCCGGGTGATTATGATGATGAAGATTGTCAGGGGAAACCGAAGTACTCGGAGAATATCTACCCCAGCGCCACTTTGTCCACCACAAATTCCACTTGACCAGACCAGGGTTTGAACCCGGGCCCCCGCGGTGGGAAGCCAGCGACTAACCGCTTGAGCTATGGCGCAGCCTTGTATTAGTATTTAAATTTGAAAAAAAGAAATATAATTGTAACTCAAAAAGGAGTCTTCTTTGGTTCCATGTTCGTATGAGCCGTTTTCTCTGTTATGGGGTGTACATCTCTTCATTTCTTTTGTGCCAGACCTTTTGTTGTAGCCGGTATGTGGGTCCCAGGCTGAGCTCATTGTCACTGTGCTTTGGGTTTGTGTTTTCAGGTCATACACGGCAAGGGCTCAAGTGTCGAGTGTGTAAGCTTAATGTTCACGTGGACTGCCAAGAGAAAGTGGGGCGCTGCCAACCAAAATCTAGACTTCTGCGTAGACAGAAGTCCACTTCGGAGATAGAGACGCGCATTCAGGAGCCTCTGCCTGATGAAGAGAGTGAGTACTTGCCTCTGTCACCACAAAACCTGCAGTCGCTCTGTAGAATACCGGGCTTCTGCCCTTTCTATTGTATGCATTTATAAAATTGCCAATATTCCTATGGCAGACTTCCCATATTTTGCAAAAGAGAGTTTCGTATGCTCAGCGTGTTGCCGAGCCTACCACAGAGAACCGGATTCAATCGCATAGAGGTCCGTGTGAGGTTTGTAGTAAGCGGAGTGCCACTGTGGGAAGTTAATCTTCGGGTTTCCCTTACCAACTACAGTATCTTCTCAGCTATTATCTGAGGCTGCCGCAGGAGTACCAATGGACTCTGACCCCACCTCAAGAAAAAAAAATGAACAGCCGTGTCCTCGTGTGTTTTCTCCCCTCCCGCCATTTAAATTTTCGAAAATTTGTATCTTTTTCTGACGTCGGTCTGAATATGATATCACTGTAGAATCTTTCAAATTTATTAAATTATACTAGTGTTATGTTTAACACTCTTCTTCATGTATACGACGTTTCGGCAGTTTGTTCTACCCCCTCCGTCTGGTCGCTTGTTATAATTATGCCAACATACCTTCCATTTTAATGAAATTATGCTGAGTAGGATCTAAGCTGGAATATTTTCATTGCTAAACCAGAAGTTCTTAGCAATTATCGCTAATTTTAAAGTTATAATAATAAACAGTCTGTTAGTCTAAAGATATGAAGGAAATAAGGCCAGCTCTGGGAACGTCGTGTATATGAGGTATACATCAGATAGTGTCTGACATTGACTGATACAGTAGTGACATAATGCTGCTACAGGATGCCACAATTTTGGGCGTTATAATTAATATTAATAATAACAATATATTACACCTAAAAATTCACACCAGTCCTGCTGAGTGTAGAATACGGAGATGTTGTGTGGTAATAGGTGTGAGAAAAATATGCACGTTTTTTGAAGGTGACTTGTGTAATGTAAAGTAAGGTTATGGTGGCTGAATTTAGCAGGAGATTTAATGGAAGTAACTAAAGAAATTAAGTATGGAGACAGAGTAAAAACAAGTGAACAGTTCTGTGTAAAATGTATCTCAGATGTTAACAACTACAAACATAATGACGGAGCAGAAATCTTGAGTTATGTCGGAGAAAAAAATAAATATGATGCAATGGGTAACGATTCTATTGGAAATTTTGCATGTAATTAATAGTTAATTGTTAATCTATAATTGATATTATTCTCATACTGATTCAAGCATTTGAAGGAAAGCAAGCGTCATTTGTTCTTCTAGAACTTCCTGTTACATAAATACATCGTTTCGGGTGTCAAATTTGCTATGCGCTTTCTACAACATTAAATCAGAGAGCTTAAGAAGAGTTACATTGTGACTTTTGGCTAGCCAGTCATTAATAAGACTGACAAAGATCGTCATAATTAACCCACTCCATGGAGCATGCTTCTTATTCAGAAGCTGATAGTACCTCATCTACTTAGCATATTCCGCGCGCCTGATGGAAACCAGAGGTTTATTCAGCAGACAGTGCCACTGGACCCTATCTTAAGTTCGGAGACCTGAGTAATATTTCGTAAAGTGATAATTTATTAATGTGTGGTTGTAGCTCCAGCCATAAATCTGGAAACCCCCATTGTCAGCTGTCCACGGCTGCTTCTTTATTATGTTCACGCTACCCTTCATATCTGGAGGCAGTTTTCTTTGTTCGCAATTTGAGAATTGACTTTACTTCAGTGGTCCATAATGGATGTCCAAATTATTAAGGATATTTACCGAAGTTATTGACGTATTGTCTAGGACACATTCGTAGTTGGGAGGTTCTGGACTCGATTTTCTGCCCAGTGAAATTTTGTTAGGCGAAAAGGCGAGGGCTATTTCCAAATCCATTTCTAGTCAGTTTACTAAGAGAATGGCAGAGTTGACACGACTGAATTTCTCAGTTTCACCCCTCTTTAGCAGTGAATCACTATGCATCCGCTGGAGAAATAAATCAAAAGGTATAAAATTTGAAAATGTATTCGTGAATGAGACTACTTCTACGTAAAACATTCAGGCTACAAAATTGTATTCTCCACATGAAGCGTTCCTTTTTCCGCCTTTTTAGTCTTAATAGTGAAGTAAACTGAGCAAGAATCCCAAAGATGCATTTCTTTGCTTTATCAGCCACAGAGCAACCAACAAGTTATGTTAGCTTATTTCCGGCATGGGCGCAGAGTCTCATTTCGCAACCGATTAGATCAGCGGTTCTTAACCTCGCGGGAGAGGGTACATTCACGCCCTGAGGAACGTGAATTCAGTGCTAGACACAGGTCGAAACGTCTTAGGAAAATATCTTTAGAATTTTCTGTTGTACAGTCTCAGTTCTCAGTCCATTACAGTTTCCACTCTACTCTTCCTGGCAATGGATTTTAACACCGGAACTGTAACAGTCCAATGAATTACACACTCAAAATATCACCGCACTACAGCATACGTAAACCGTTCTCTTCACATCCCGATTGTCAACTGAACCCATGGCTCTATCTTCTCAGCCTCCCCTAGCAAAACTCAACTCTCGACTAACTGCTCCCTTGGAAATCCGGAACTCGACTGCCGATTCTCAGTTGAACTCTTCTTTATAACCTCTTTGCTCGGACCTCATAGAAAAAACTTTCCCAACAATTCCTCTATTGTGGCTTGCGTATCCGTTACCGCGGAAACCTGTTTACCGAGCCGTTGCCTAACAACGGACGTCTCCTCTGGCTCTACTATTCCGGCCTTCAAGAATCATGTCACACTATTATTCGATTCTCTACATTCTAGCTGCTGACAGTGTCGTGAAGTAACCAGCAGAGAATAATTCATATAGGAGAGCTGTATTGCGCAGTGTCCAAGTGGCCGAAAGCATTGTCCCTTTATGTAACACGAAAAATTAAAGAAAAAACGTAATTATCTCCTCTAAGTTATGGGATGAAGTCCGTTGAACTCTGAATATTATCAATTTAATGGGACACCTTCCGGTCAGTGCCTAGTTATCAAATTTTAAATTGACTTCTGCAGTAACAGGAAAGCCTATAATGAGTTCTGAGAATATAACTTTCGTTCGTGATGGAGTCTGTTTTCGTCTGTGCGATATTATTCGTGTTACGGAATTATTACAAGGACTGGGTATGAGTTTCAGGTCTTCCGTCTTCTTTACCAAAGTTAAAGGATTACATAAATTATTTAACACACTGAATTAATGTCATGCTAAACCCTACTTGAATGTTCGGTAATTGGAGAAAGTACACAGTCAGAAAGTATTCGGCGGCATGGCGAGGAATTTATCCATCTTTATGGAGAATTCAGCGACCAGACATGAAGGGCTCTTTGCATCAGCAGGCCAATTTTCGGCATTATCCGTTATCATCTCTGCCAGGTACCAACAACAACCGTTTTATCTGTGACATCTTGTGTACAGATGTCAGGTATTGTTTTGCCAATTAAATTTTACTGTATCAAATGTAATAGTCTAGTAGTCAGAGTTTCTGGTTCCAGATCCCGAGGTCCCGGGTTCGATTCCCGGAGCTACCACATTTTCGGAGAAGTAATGGGTCTGGAACGGGGTCCACTCGGCCTAGTGAGGATAATTGAGCTATTTCAAGGAAATAGCGGCTCCGGTTTAGAAAGCCGAGATTGACGGCCTTGGGGATCGGTTGCGCTGACCACGCGACATCCTCTAGCCACAAAAGTTGGCACTAACTTCGCCGACAAGCAGCGATCGCTCGGTCGATATAGTTCACTTGCGGACTACAGGCCACGGAGTTTGTTTGGATCAAATTTAGAAGATATATTTTATTTTAGTGTTTATTAAATGTGGTACCATTTCACTTAATGAAAAATATCAGCACACCGATATACCTGTTTAAAAACATAATCGCCTAATTTTGAAGAGAGAAAAATTCTCACGAAAGAACTCTTTGGATGAGAAAGAATTGTGCAGTTGTATTATGCGCCATATGTTTCCTACTCGCAAACTAGATTTATACATAACTGATACGCAGCAGGGCCCATTGCACCATTTTCTGACAAGAACACGTGTTCTGTCTTGGAAATAAGGACTAGTCTAACCTAGAAAATGAAAACATTTGACATGAGAACACTGCAGGATATGAATAATGGATTCCATCACCCTTCTGTTACCAAGGAGAATCCCTGACCCAGTTGGAAGAGGAGTTGCTATGGAAACTAGTGATCTTTTGTTGTTGTTATCACAAAGAACAATAATGGGGGAAACGTGGTATAAACATGAGTCAGAAGAAAAGAAAAAGTGAGTTGCGAGTCGTCTCGTCAGTAACAGCTGATGCTACATGACGCAGTAAAACGTGGCAGAAAGGAAGAGAAAGAATGGAAGAAATAAAGAATGAGAAAGAAGCACCAAAGGAAATAATATAGTGATGTGGTAACGTCAAGATACATGGCAAATGGAATGACCGAGTGGAGGTTTGATTTTTGTTACGTACAATCAGTAAGTCATGAAAATTGCGGCATGGTATTAAACATATGTTCCGTAAGCAAAAATTTGTAAACAAAATTATAATAAAATTTCAATTTTCCCCCACGGGACACGAAAACAGTTGCGTAACTGAACTAAGCAACCCATTAAACATCAGACGAAGACTAAAACGACAATGGCCCTCAGACTTAAAAGAACACACTAGTTGAAGATGGTAGTCGTACTCAACATAATGCATAGTATGCTACATAGGAGAATCATCACTGGATGATCACTCCGCACAAGTGATTTCCTTATTGCTCCATTGTAGAGTAGATTGTAAATTGCAAGAAATAAAAAAAATCCCTTAAAAATTATCGTAATTCTAGAGAAGATTACTGTAAAATTATACCCTATAAAGTATCTGTTCACTGGTCACTGTAGCCGAACGGTCTAAGGCATGAACTGTCTTCGCTCGCTTGGAAACCGGGATCGTGGGTTCGAATCCCACTCAGGGCATGGATGTTTAGTTTGTGTGGGTGCGTCATTTTCTTCTTTCTAGTGTATTGTATCCCGTTGTCGTGGAAATATGCTTGTTTGCAGAACCGTTACTTAGCAACGGATTTTGTATATTTTCTTATTCCGCGGTCGTTGCGTAGCAACGGGTGTGCATGCCACAATATTGAATAAGATGTTAAGGAAATTATGTCAGAGAGTATAGACTGGCTGAAGATACGGTCCAGTGGCCTAAAGTCATGGAAATTAAATTAATTCCAGAGTCCTACGAGAGGCGTGAAAGGTTCTGAGCAGCTGAGAGACTATCATCTTCTCGAAATTGGGCTACTAATTGATTCATTCATCAGTAATCTCAGACGACAGGTCCACAGTCTCTTCCAAAACAGTTCCTCTACTTAATGCGATCACAAACTTTCTCCTTCAAATGAAATAAAAATATCCTCTTCTGTCTCCAAGGTCATCCAGCGTCTTCTTACGCCTTCTTCCTCGTCTTCTGGTCACTTCTATCCGCCCCTCCGGTTTGTTTTGTCTCCAGAGGAAACATCTCGCATATATGGTACCTCTGTTTTTGGAAAGAGACTATCCAGGAAAAGTGATAATGTGGTAGTTTTTCCATTTGCTTTCCACATCGCAGTACAACAGCCGTTCAAACCACTCTGGTCACGCCTGTTGCTATACGAACTTGAACCATCTCGAGCATCATTTGCTCTGTGCTTCAAGACGCTGCTGATGACGCTGCTTCCGGCATCAGTTTTTGGTTTTTGGTGTCTCTCTTCGTCTGATGCTTACCCTTTGACCTGTCCAGCAAGGAAGGCCCTGCCAGTAGCTACGCTGCCGCTGGTATAGCTCTCAGGGTCCTTGGCATACTCAAAACCCCTCACCACGATAAGGTGGAGACACCAACGAGGGGGGTTACTAATATACAAATAAAATTCAGAATCGTAGTATGTCATGTTATGTTACTGATAATACATGTTAGCAATGGAACGCTGTATAAATAATCTTTGGTGTTGATGGAAGACCCTTGAAAATTGAGGGCTCTCCATTTCTTACATAGGCCATAATGTTTCGTACTTTTATCTTCTCCATTTCAAGCGCCGAGGCCTAAGATTGACCGCATCTCTGTACGTAGCCGCCCTACCTGAGTGACACGCAGATCCAATCACAAACCGCATAGCATTACGTAGTAACACACGTAAATAGATATACATTTACTGATCGCCGTGAAATGCGGACATGATGCCAAGTGACGTGTTATATACTGAGTTCATTTGTCGCTCGAAGCAGCATCAGAAAGTGTCCGGCCCAAATCCAATGTTGACACTATGCCTCACTGAGGCAACATCATTTCCTCTTGTGTAGAATATTGGATTTGGGCTTTGCGTTAACACTGCCGGACTTTTAAATTCTAAATCACATGACACATGACAGATTAACCATTTCCAGTTCCTTGGAATCGCTTGACGAAATAAAATGACAGGCAAATTATTATTATTATTTTTATTCGATTAGAGGTTCTCACACCAGGAGCCGGGATAGCTCAGTCGGTATAGCGATTGGCTGCGGGCTGGACGACCAAGGTGTCGGAATTCGAGTCCCGGTAGGGTGAAGAATTTTCTCTTCTCCACGTGGTCCACACTGGCTCTGGGGTTCACCCAACTTCGTGTTCAATGGGTACCGGCTCTGTTTCTCTGGGGGCAAAGCGTCCGGGAGTGTGAAGCTGACTACTCACCTCCAGCTAGTGCCGAGGTCAAGAAAATATGCATCTATACATTTACTCCCCCATACGCCTTCATGGCGTAGTGCTTAATTAGTTTCTCACATCAGTCTTTACGAAGAGTACAGTCTCGTGCAATGTGACGCCGTGTACCCCAGTAGAATTTTACCGACTTTTCGGGAGGACATATTGCCTCCATCTTCAGGGTCTAAGAATCTGCTTGGTACCTGATTTTTCATGGTTAATTTCTTAACTTACTCTTCGGAACTGAAGATGAAGACAGTACTTTCCTCCGAAACATCAATTAACTTCTACCGGAATGCACTGTATCACAATACAAACGAAAGTGCTCCATGGAATAGACCAACGCGATTAATCTAAAATCTGTAATGCTTTAATTGTTCTGGGGTTCAACTTCAGTCTCTGTATTATATTCTCTGCATATCTGCGCATGCGTGGGAGATCCACCACTCTTTCACAGGCCGTGTAAGGAACTGTAGAACAAAATGGCCGTTCTTCAGGTACTGTACTCTTGACTGAGCCAGTGAGTACAGTTAACGTAAATTGGCTTCAAAAGGAAATAGGAAAACACATTACACATCACCAGTAGAAGTCGAATACATTGAAACGTAAACAGTGAAAGTTGCAGTGACACTGCGCTAAGCTGATGAATGACGATCTTTGTTTTGTAATTAGATATGTTTTAATTGTGTTAATGTCCATTTATTGTATTAATTAATGTGCTAAATGTGGGCTGTATCCCGCCCTGCTTCCAAGGATTGATTGTACTAACATATTCTTTAAACGTTTCTTTCCACAACCCCCTACCTCCACCCTCTACCTTCACAAACTCTTTCTTGTAACAACACTTCCCCCCTCCCCTCAACACTTCCGACTAATTATTGGTTATTTTAATGGGCGTTTCTGTCCGCTGACACGCTTCAACCCACATCACAAACATCTGCGTGATCACACGCGTCCATTTCGCTGACGTTTTTTTTTCTCTCTTCTATTGGCATTTATTCTCTTCCCTCCAAACTACATAATCTATGATGGGTTGTTCCTGTCAAACCGAATTTTATTTTACGAATTCAATAAAACATGAATTAATCCACACCAACATACAACAAAACGACCAAAAAACAATTTTCCATTTCGACAACCCCTTCATGATCTTTTCGCCATACTTTCGTACTTCTAACCACTCCATTCACTCTTTATCGTAACATCTTTCGCATGACTGTATCCCTTCGTTTGTTTTAATTATATTTTGCTACTTTCAATTTTCTCTTGTTTTGCTGTCGTTTGTATATAATAATATTAAAACAAAATTTACGTAACTTTTTAACACGCTTGAATGTTTTGTTCTATGTCTTTACCCGCACACTCTGTTTGCGTGTTGTTTTATGGCTTGCTCTTTGTGTATGTAACTTTTCTGTTTCCATCTTGTGCTTGTTCTTGGATACATCTCATATTACTGTCTCTCTCTCTTACTTCCTTCATATACTTCTCTTCTTTTTATTTCGTCTGTACAACTGTGTTTTATTGCTTGGGGGTTTTGACTCATATTTGCCCATTTCTTCTTTTTTGCATATTTATCCTTTATTTAAATGTTTCACTTTCGTTATCTTGGTCTTCAATATCTCCGTCGTCAACCTATTTACACCATTTGCTCCTGAACCTCGACGCTTGGCCTCCTCCCGCTGTCACAGAACCTCAAGAGATAGACCTTATCTACCAAGTCCTGAAACAAGCCGGTGAAATAAGCAGTAGCCGAAGTGGCACCGCTCGTGCCTTGACACCAGCACCACCTGCCGCGGCGTCTGTGAAGCAGTCGGAACAGCCCAACGGAACTGGTTCTACGGCGCCCAATGTTGGCTCCTTCCACAGACGTTCTGGCCCTACCCAGCAACAGCCATTGTTGTTAAGAGGAGCTGCTAGTTCTCTAACTGTGGGCCCCGTACCTCATGCATCCATTTCAGGTGTGTTTGTGCCTTCCATGTTTCAGTGTTCTTGGTGTTGACTAGTTGCTTGTTAATGTGAATGCTGACTTCTCTTGTGTCTGGGTGCCATAATGTATTTTGATTTACTAATTACATTTATAAATGTCAGATTAACTACTTAAGCTCTTTGACTGTTAGGTATTCGTTCACTCGAACGTTTTGTCTAACTGTAGCTGAATCGATTGATTTTAAAATGACATATCTTTATAACTGTCCAGCAGGCTTTACGCCAAACATCTGTCACTCAGTGTGAGAATGACAGGGTGTTGTGTTGCATATAACGCAGTACGAACTAAACATTTCTCTTATATTTATCCCTTTGAGCAAGTATTCTCATAAAAAGAGCAACTAACGACACAAAATATATGATAACATCAAATTTTCATATTAGTTACATTTACAGAGCTGATATTACTAGGATGGTCAAATTAAAGTCAGTGCTATGGCCGTGACATGCAGGTAACGAAAGTGGAAATTAGGAATGCTTGAAAATAATTAATTAGTAATCCTGAAGGGGAAGAACATGTAGAATATGAGACGCAGATGCGAGAATAACATTAACATATAGGCTATGAGACGCAGATGCGAGAATAAAATTAACATGTAGGATATGAGCCGCAGATGCGAAGATAACATTAATATGTAGGATATGAGACGCAGATGCGAGGATAACATTAACATGTAGGATATGAGACGCAGATGCGAGGATAACATTAACATGTAGGATATGAGACGCAGATGCGAAGATAACATTAACATATAGGCTATGAGACGCAGATGCGAGAATAGAATTAACATGTAGGATATGAGCCGCAGATGCGAAGATAACATTAACATATAGGCTATGAGACGCAGATGCGAGAATAAAATTAACATGTAGGATACGAGCCGCAGATGCGAAGATAACATTAACATGTAGGATATGAGACGCAAATGCGAGAATAACATTAACATGTAGGATATGAGACGCAAATGCGAGAATAACATTAACATGTAGGATATGAAGCGCAGATGCGAGAATAACATTAACATGCTGGATATGAGGTTCTTGCCTCTATGAACATGAAAAATACTTTCTTCTGGTTTGTAACGCCGTGGAGTTTCGAGTGAGCCCAACGTTTTGGAAGAATATATCCCTTCCATCTTCAGGGTCGAAGAACAAGCCAAGCAGGAAACAAGTCATCTGTTTCTGCTCGTTTCAGTCTTTGGCTTAATATTCGACCCTGAATATGAAGACCATATATTTCACCGAAACTTCGGACTGTCTCCACATTACAGGTGCTGTAACGAAGAAGATAATCTTCTTTAATATTATCATGAATTGTGAAGACGTAGGACATGTGACTGTTTCCTGAATTCATTTATCTCAGGATATGTTCTATTGGCCGGTTGCTTTGGACACTTTGATATTGGTACTATATAATCGGGCTTCATAAATTAACCGGTAATTTTTTTATTATCCTGGTTATCATCACCGTTTTTAAAAGAGTTTTCACTGGTCTCTGTCCTGATGCAGATTTATCCGATCAACTTTCTCACACCTTACCTCTTCAATATCAGTTTTAATATTATACTATGACAAATAGGCCGTTTCTGGGAAACGAATTGGTAACATATTTCCACGGAAATACGGTTGTTGGACGCAAACCATCGCTGGGTGCTAAAGAAACATGTCCACGGATACGGGAATGGAAATGGTGGACACTTAGAAAGCAGATCGTTGCTACGAGCAAACAGCAAACACTTCGTAGACTACTCTAGACTATATAAGTTGCGGTTCAGACAAGAACTAATTCATTCGTATATGAGCATTCATTAGTAATTCATCCGTAAGTTAGTCTCAGTAGGAAAAACTCTAGAAGAGAGGACAGTCGTAGTTCCGTCAGAATGGAGCAAATCTTGTCATTTAACGTGATTAAGAGAGGTGTTAATAAAATCAATCACTGGATCCAAAACCCCATATTATTGGTCACGGAGACAGAAACACGTGAGAGTATTCCCATCCGCTCACAGTTCCCCCACGTCCTTCCTTTCAGATTTCCCGACTAAAATTCTTTACACATTTCTCATTTTTTCCATCCATGCTGCATGTCCTGTACATCTCATTCCACTTGCCTTGATCTATTAATAATGTTTGGTGATGAGTACAAATTATATAGTTTTCTGTAATTAGAGTTGTCCCAGATTATGTGTGTAACCAGTGTGGTATCTGGTTGCGATATGTTGCCTGAGTCAGGTGGTCATCCAGCCCTCTTAAGTAACTGCCCTCGAAAACAGAGCGGAAATCAAACCGTAGTTTCGAGTGACCTGGACTTGGCAGTTTGATTCTGAAGAGCCTTCCTCTTGTGTTAACAAGCATTGTCCGCCGAGAGTGTACCCGTGTTCACACTTGTGGTCCCATCGAGGCAGAGCATTTCGGCCAAATGACATTAATATGTACAAGAATTTATGGACTTCAAATCGTGGAGCCTGGTATAGTGACTGGAAGGATTTGTAGTCCCGGTAAGGGCATCGATTTTCTCATCTCCGCGTCGTCCAGACCAGTGCTCGATCCTTCACCGCCTCGTATCCAATGGGTAACGAGAGCTCTTCCCTCGGGGATGAAGCGGCCCGGGCGTGAAGCTGACCACTCACCTCCAACTAGTGCTGAGGTCAAGAATACGTGGACCTATACCTCTACTCCCTCATACGTATTCATAGCATAGTGCTTAATTAGTTAAGCACAGGAAAACAATGAATATATAATTATGAATTTTAGATCTGAAGGATCGTTAAGGTGCTGGAACTTGGAAATTTAATTACATTATGTACATGTTGACGTATTTATGTAATTACAATTACTTGTGTACAGAGTTTTAAGAAAGAAATGAAGCGTATTTTGGTACTTCTTTGTGAGAGTTTAGATTCCAACGACGGCGAAGCGTCATATTGTGCTTTTCGGCACCCTTTTTGTCTGGTGGATAGGTATCATAGTTTTTTGGGGATGAGGGTGCCTTCTACTATTAATATTGTAACGTGTTTTGCCACTGAAGACGCCGTTCGGATTGTTAATTGCTTTATTTAACAACCTGCAGATCGTAACTACAATTAATTATAACACAGTTGCGGGTTTACCCAATTTATAAACCCTGCACAATAATTTATTCACTCTATCTTCAGTAGTTTTCACTTATTCACAGTGAAATACGGGAGCTATACCAGTGTCACTGTATTACACACTCCCATACTTTATCACACTATCGCCTCTAATCACACGTTCCGGTCTTCTGCACGATTCACTCGCTACAACTGAACTCGGCGACTGCTACAATTCAACTGACTGCTTAGTCAGAGTCAGAGTCAGAGTCACATTGCAAGTGACGGTCAGTCAGTCAGTAAGCCTTGGTGTCGAGCCCCAATTGGGGCTCATGACCAGATATTAATTATTACCGTTTGACAGTTACGGTCTTGTTTCTGTGGGGCGCCTTCTCTGACGAGAGGACGGGTCTGTCTTTTGTATATGCTGCTGGCTCTTGCCAGCGCAGTCTTTCTCGGGTCCGAGTCCCTTGGGACTCGCGACCATATTTTACTGTCTCAGAACTGAGAGTTGAGAGAGAGAGAGAGAGGTGCACACACACACACACACACACTTACGGATCATCTTCAGAGGGAACATCAATACTTATTCGGAAACCACCATCACAATAGGTGTTCTGATTGCCAACTCAGATACACACATAATGCNGATTGTTAATTGCTTTATTTAACAACCTGCAGATCGTAACTACAATTAATTATAACACAGTTGCGGGTTTACCCAATTTATAAACCCTGCACAATAATTTATTCACTCTATCTTCAGTAGTTTTCACTTATTCACAGTGAAATACGGGAGCTATACCAGTGTCACTGTATTACACACTCCCATACTTTATCACACTATCGCCTCTAATCACACGTTCCGGTCTTCTGCACGATTCACTCGCTACAACTGAACTCGGCGACTGCTACAATTCAACTGACTGCTTAGTCAGAGTCAGAGTCAGAGTCACATTGCAAGTGACGGTCAGTCAGTCAGTAAGCCTTGGTGTCGAGCCCCAATTGGGGCTCATGACCAGATATTAATTATTACCGTTTGACAGTTACGGTCTTGTTTCTGTGGGGCGCCTTCTCTGACGAGAGGACGGGTCTGTCTTTTGTATATGCTGCTGGCTCTTGCCAGCGCAGTCTTTCTCGGGTCCGAGTCCCTTGGGACTCGCGACCATATTTTACTGTCTCAGAACTGAGAGTTGAGAGAGAGAGAGAGAGGTGCACACACACACACACACACTTACGGATCATCTTCAGAGGGAACATCAATACTTATTCGGAAACCACCATCACAATAGGTGTTCTGATTGCCAACTCAGATACACACATAATGCCTGGAACACACAATGTACACAATATTCAACTTTTCACTATCACAGCAGCCTTCCTGGTATTAAAACTTTTAAAGTGTTTAAAAAATTAGCTTACCTGAACTTAAATATATTTAATAGACACGGACAAATAGAAATTTAAATATACAACTGACTGCTTAGGCATTCCAATTCTTNAAATACGGGAGCTATACCAGTGTCACTGTATTACACACTCCCATACTTTATCACACTATCGCCTCTAATCACACGTTCCGGTCTTCTGCACGATTCACTCGCTACAACTGAACTCGGCGACTGCTACAATTCAACTGACTGCTTAGTCAGAGTCAGAGTCAGAGTCACATTGCAAGTGACGGTCAGTCAGTCAGTAAGCCTTGGTGTCGAGCCCCAATTGGGGCTCATGACCAGATATTAATTATTACCGTTTGACAGTTACGGTCTTGTTTCTGTGGGGCGCCTTCTCTGACGAGAGGACGGGTCTGTCTTTTGTATATGCTGCTGGCTCTTGCCAGCGCAGTCTTTCTCGGGTCCGAGTCCCTTGGGACTCGCGACCATATTTTACTGTCTCAGAACTGA